GTTAATGAAATAAAGACAGAAGTTTCCAATGAATTATATTTGGATCATTATTTCCATGGAAAAGGGGCACTTTTATATATATAGGTTTAGAAGGGGGAAGATGAGTACTGTAATATTGTGAAGCGCAGAGATCAATTGTAATCAGATTATTTGAGCAGGTGGCAGTGTACACACAAAAAGAAGCCTCACATATCAAACGATGAAATTCCACGGCATGAACAAATAGAAAATGAAGATTGGTCCTATATTACTCGAACACAACTGCAAATGGGGGACATAGGTTTGTGTCCAACACAGTTTTTTTCAAGAGTATTGCATTTGGAGGATCCTTATAAGATCAAATCGCCATACTTGTGTCCGAGTATATGTTGTACATGGATGTTGAACACTGGTATTTCAGGAAAATTGAGAAGTCGGAGTAATTTAGGATAAGTCACATCACATAGAAAACTTCAGGGAGTTTGTAAGTGAATATCACATTATAATAACCCAACCAAAAACTCAAATCATAATATTTTTCTAAAAAAAAAACTTTGGGTTGAAAACCAAAATCGTTGCTTAATATAACCAATCCATCACTAGTTTAACATAAGAAAAGTTGCGTGCATGACTAACCTCAGGCGGTATGTCGAGGTACAATCCCAGATCAGGAGCTATTACTCCAATTTCTGGTTCCTGTAAGGAAAGACCTTATTTGTTATTGATGGCCATGCAAGGAAATACCTTAAAGAGAAGATTCCAGCTCTTTCATCGTGGTGCCTTTAACTTACACCATCCGAAATCAAGTCCTTTAGCAGATGAGAAAGCAACCCCAGAATAAGAGTAACGGTCTACTATAAGGGTGGTTCCAGCTTTTAGTTTCAATTCCTTCAGATTATCTAGGACTTCCCCTTGGTGCTATTAGGAATTCATCAGCTCTTTGGGACCGGTGGTTAAAAATTTCTACAGGAAATTGCTGGTTGGAAGGCTTTTACTCTTTCATTAGCAGGGAGATTGGTATTGGTTAAGTCGGTCCTATGCTCGCTTCCTACTTATTTTTTGTCGATGTTTAAGATTCCAGCCTCGGTTTAAAATCCTCAATTCAATCATGTCTCAGTTCTTATGGGGAGGGGGCAATGGGAAAAACAAGATACATTGGGTTAATTGGTCCACTGTGTGTAAACCAAAGAATGAGGGAGGTCTGGGGTGTATTGAATCTTAAAATGATGAACAGAGCTCTATTAGGGAAATGGTCATGGAGGTTTGCTAATGACAGAAATTCTGTTTGGAGGAGAATATTTGCAAGCAAATACAATATTGATTCAGCCTTATTATTTTGACAACAAGGTTCCAGATCAGCTTCTTGGATTTGGAGATCAGTGGTGAATAACCATTTCAAAGATGACCCTTCGTTTTAAGTTCGAAGTTTATGTAGTTTTCAAGCTGGGATGGAAAGTTTATTCGGTTCTGGCAAGATATTTGGGCCATGGATTATCCACTTTGGTCATTTTTCCTAGACTGTTTCTATTTCATCAAAAAGATTGGCAAATTATGTGAGTTTGGGGAACATCGATCTATGGGCTGGATTTGGAATGTTCAATTGAAAAGAAATTTAAAGATTGAGAATTTGAACAATGGTCTAATTGATGGTTATCATTTCGAATTTCTCACTTTCTAAAGAATCCAATGATGGTTTGATATGGAAAGGCAAAATATAATTTGGAGGGTCTGCTACCTCCAAAAGTGGAATCCTTTATGTGGCAAGTTGTTCTTCAGAAGCTGGCAGTTAAGACTGAACTGGTTAAAAGAGGGGTTCAGGTATGAAGATGTTTTATGTCCTCCTCGTTGCAAGCTGTGGAGGAGTCTTCCTCACATTTTTTACTTGTTCTGTTGTGTGGTCTTTATGGAACAAATCCATGAAGTTATGGAGGCCCAATCCTGTTTCATGCTAATGCCAAGATTTTCTCTAGTCTAGGAATATTTGAAGATCAATTCTGCTACATGGTCATTTGTTCCAGGGGTTGTTCTAGGACCATTTGGAAAGTCAAGAATTCTATGTGTTCGAAGGGGGAAGTTAGACCAGACCGAATTATATTTCTTAGCAAGGTTTAGGCTTGCTTCTTGTTTTTAGCCAAGTATAAGGAGATTTCTATTCCTAAGGATTCTCTTATCTTTGATCCTTCTAGGGGATTCTTGTTCCTTCTCCAGTAAAATGATTGTAACTAAGATCCCTTGGTCTCCTCCCCTAAGGGCTTCATTAAATTGAATGTTGATGCTGCTTCTAGCTGCTACTGGAAGAGAAGTGGATTAGGTGGCATTTTAAGAAATTATTGGTTTGATCTTAGGTTCTTTCAAGGAGTCTTCTGGTCCGGGCCCTCCAACTTGATGGAGCTTAAAGCTATTCAAAAGGGTTTATCTTTCTTTGTCTCTTTCAAGGGATTGTAAGGATCGTTTGATAATTGAGAGTGATAGCAGGGTGACAGTGGATTGGATTAAGAATGTTGAATTATGTCAAGATGTGTATGCTTTTATAGTTAAAGACATAGTGATAGGCTTAAAGTTTTTTAGGGTGTTGTAGATGGGTTGTTACGATAGCTAACTTAGAGGCTGATGCCTTAGCTAAGGCAGGAATAGGTTGACTTTAGTGTTGTTGTTTAGGTATGGTTTTCTAGTTTCTGTAAGGGGTATATTTGGGTTGTATTTGTTATGTAACTTTTTGTGATTTATGAAATCTTAAAGCACTCTTTTCCTTCTTCTGATTAGGAGCTTCTCTACGAGCTCCATTAATCAAGAAGGGGGCTTTTAACAAGGCCTTCAATTCTTATAAAAAAAAAGAAGATCAGAAGTGTGCATATACAGATATCAGATTCATTGGGAGGAATATTTGAGTGGTTCATATGCATAGAACAAGTTAAACACGGACAGACAAATATGCAGAAGTTGCTGTGTATCATATTCCTTGTATCTATTACCAAATATGCCATCAGAATTTGTCCGACTTGCTTAAAAGCCTATAAATTTTTATAACTTCATCTGATAAATACTCAATGATCAGCTTAGTCAGGGTACTCTATTCCAATAGTGTTACTTTGCTGACTCATGCAAAGATCAGCCCACTTGCCATTCTTGGAGTGCAACCAACAAAAACAAGTGAACATAGTCAATGGATTGCCCAAAACCCATGTTGTGGTGAAGTTTTTCATATTAAACTAAAAAGTGTAGGACTTTAAGCCATGTTTCGCCGATTCTATTTGTTCCGGAATTGGTATCAGACTGACACCTAAGCCCAACACATATTGCTGTGAAAAGAAGGCAAATGCCAAATCCGAGAAGATAAACATATGAAGCAAAGTCTAACAAGTGTTGGTAAAAGTATCATCCATTCACAATAATAGCGAAGAATACAAGTTCCAACAAAAAAAGATTAAACCAGATGCTAAATATTCAAAGATTGCTGAACTTGTTGAAAAAAGCAGTATTGCAAATCCTGGAAGAAGACCAAGATATGAGCATGGAGATGGTCAGTGCACTTAAAGGATTGTCCTCTCCGAACAATACGGCTAATAGAAGTTCTAATGAAAGGAATCAAACCGAACATCAATAAACTTCAACGATTGCACAACATGCTGATAAAAAGTGTCAGATATGGATAAGAATCTGACACAGGTATCTTCCTTGAAGAGTGATATTCCAATATTCATGTTCGAAATGGGCCAGACATGGTACTTCAAGAAATATCAAGGGTCAGAGTAACATAGTAAGCATGAGATATCTGTCAAGAACTAGCAAAGAGCATATGGTACATGCATTTCCTACAGGCAAACATTTTCTAAAGCAGTATATAATGCAATGCATAAATGTGAAAACGAACCTCTTCTCCCACCGATTGCACTGAAAAGTAGATGGATTGTGTGGTCATCCAACTGCGATTTATTACTCAGATATGCTGATCATCTGCCCAATGCTTGTGTTTATGTCGGGGAATCACCATAACTCGACTGGATGCCCGAATCTCTCCAAATATGAAAGCAGCCCCCACATTGTGAAGTTTTACCACTACGATCCAATCCTTCGAAAACTACCAAGGCACCTCTAGATTCACTGCTTGCATCCATCGAGCTACAATTATTATCATTTTTCATTCTAACAAACTTAACCGAACACTTGGACAAAAGATTTGGTCTCAAACTAAATGGTCTCCTCGCCGCCAAAGCTCTGAAATTCCTGAAATTCACCTAGTAATAAGATTAAAATATCAACTGCATGCAAGGTTTTATTGAAGTTTAATAGTCGTGTTTATTTAGTGTTTAATTCAAGGAAAAGCGCAGCGTGCATTTTCATGAAGTAAACTATCAATTTGTGCAGACAAAGTTGGAGTACAAGAATAAAAAAGATGAAAAAAAAGAAACACTTAAACTGTAAAATCGCACGAATGTACCATGTCCTTAATAATCCTACAAACTGAAATCAACAAATCCAAGAATTAAGCAATGTAATCTAGTAGCTTGAAGTTTCATTTTAAAAGAAATAACAATAATGCTTGGACTTGAACAGCTTATGAGCTTAACTGAGTTTATTTTTAATTAATAAAAAAATCTTAGCTCGAGTTTGAAGCCGATTATAGGGATCAAATTCATTTTATTTGGTAAGTTCAAGCAATTCAATATTTTCCGAAACTCGAATTCGAGCCAAATTTTATTAAGAAAAAACCCAGAAAATTGGGAAAAAGATAAATACAAAAACAAGATCAACCAAAGAAACATCTCACATAAGATTAAAGAAAAAACCCAGAAAATTGGGAAAAAGATAAATACAAAAACAGATCAACCAAAGAAAACATCTCACATAAGATTAAAGAACAAAGATTTATTAAAAAAAAAAACAGGAAATGGGGGGAAAAGTGTAGGTACCTGAGATGAAATGTAGCCATTAGAGATAAAAAAAAAATTGAGAGGGTTTCAAGGGAAAACAATGGAGACTTTATAAAAATGTGTAACCTTTTGCCCGCGCAAATAAAATGACAACATTATCCCCATTGACCCAATTGGACAAATCCCGTCTCTTTCCGTGGTCTCCGTTTGTTTCTCGAGAAATTCTTCTAGGGTTCCAATTCCAAAAATGGCAAATAACAGCAATAAAGAAGAGCCATCCACTGCTCCAAAGCCTAATCGTTGGTACAATATAAGTTTGGGATCTTCCTTCAAGGACCAACACCAGCCTTCCTCCAAATTTTGCACTTTGCGTTGTAAGTTCATTTTTGCTCTTAATTTTTCTATGTTCTGTTTGGTTTCTATGAAAACCCTTTCTCGTTTTAAGTAGCCCACCTAGTTTAATCCTTTTGAATTAGAATATCTTTGATTTTCATATCCAGCCTTGAATCTCCAACTTTGTGATTTCAGATTTGGTATTTATGAGATTAGAACTTTGTCCATTAGATAGGAATTATACATTTAGGAAATTTTACTCGGTATCTGTCAGATATGGTTTATGTATCAAGATCAAGGTCAAATTTTCAAGTTTTCTATGTATTTGGAGTGTTATCCATATTTGGATGTGTCGGAGAATCCGAAGCATTACATCTTTGTTTGATTCTGTTTCAGATGAATTTAAACCAGCATCAATTGATAAGAACCAACCAGGATTACTCCACAAGTCTAAGGATAATCGAGTTAAGGTGGAATTTGAAAACAATCAGCCTGGGAAACCCAAGGTGACATTTGAGGGTGCCAGTGAAGATTACAAGGACAACGATGCGGTGTTGTTCTTCGATGGTGAGACGTTACGGTTGGAGCGTTTACATCGAGCTGTGAAGCGGTTGAGGCATAACCGGCAGCCTGGTGAGTCAGCATCCTTGGCTGCTTCAGCTGGCCCTGCTGCAGAATCTTATTCACCTCCACTTGGTAAAGGAGTAAAACCTGAATCTTCAAACAAAGCCTCGGTTCCGCCATTGCCTGTGAGTTTACTTGACCCTGCAATTTTATGCATCTTTTGGGCCATTACTGTTTTAGCAAGGCCTACAATATATTGACTTTTCTCTTTTTTGAGTTTTCGATGTGATTTACAGCTTCGGGTGGAACACATTGATACATCCGACTTCGAGAATGGAGGTGAGGTTCTTTTGCTTAAGAGAATCTAATATAATTTAGGGTTTCATCATCTTGATTTTACTGGTCTATCTTAATTATGGTTCAAACTTAAATCGTCCTGATGAAATCCTAATCGAAGGAGATTGTTTCTTCTATTTGAAAGAAGGTACTTGGCCAGGGTAGGAATTATATCGTGTTTGAACGTTTGAGTAAAGAACAGTTTGCTTTTCTTTATTGTTTAATGTGGCTTGCAGAGTTCTATATAGTCTTTCTCGAACAAATAGGCACTTTCAGGACGTCTAAGTAAAGGTAGCATTTATCAGTCTAACATTGTCGATTAAACATTCCCAGTGATAGTTTCTTCTGTCAGAAATAAGGTATCCAGCTAGGCTAGGAAGTTTCTCATGTTTGAGTGCCTTTCTCGAAAGAATAGGTAGGTCCGTCATTGTCGAAATCCTTTTTGGAGGGCTAGAGGATACTAAGAATTGAAATAAAGGACAATCATCTTTACTCAGCGTCAAAACTCGGGTGGCTGAGCTTTTACAGGTTTACTAACCACTTTGTATTTGAAGAACTTGTTTTTTGATAGTCATAAAACATGTCAACCTCTTACTTTGACTGCTCATATTGCAGAATCCTGGAAGGAGAAGAACTCTGAGTTCCTGTCGTCAATTCCAAATAAACCAACTGTGTCACCGGATCGTAAAAGTTATGAATCGGAAGAACTGGTGGATATCGTCAATGACGACGACGATAATGATGTTTTGGGGATAGCTAAAGAAGATAATGGTTCTGAAAATGTTTCAACTGGTATCAGTATTGATAAATACGAACCACATCACAATGACATGGATGATGAGATTGCTGATGTAGATGTAAGTGACGATGAAGAACAAAATGTGGGGCGGAGTGCAGCTGAAGCTCTTCGAGATCGAGTAAATGCAGAAGAGAAAGAAGAGCATAGCTTGAGCTCAAGCAGTAGCAGTGGAAGTGAGAGTAGCGGTAGTGGGAGTGGGAGTGGGAGCGGGAGCAGTAGTAGTGATAGTGAAAGCAGTGATGGCGGTGATTCAGTCATCTCTATTTAATTGGTTAGACCAAGTAGCTGTATAACTCTCTGTTACTCAGATTGGAGGTGAGTGTCGGAAACGTTATATTTCCGATATGGGGGGTGCTCAATTTTTTTTCTAAGTTTCCTCAAGTAATCAGCGAATCAAACCGCGATACTCGTGTCCGAATGCATGCTGGACAAGGTTAACGAAATGAAGAAATGGGGTATAGGTGGAACTGGCTTGGCATTGTTATCAAATTAGTGGTTGCTAAACTGGGGTTGTCAACATTATATACCATGTAGCATTGCAATTACTGAAAGTCTTTTATGCAGACATCAATGAACTAACGGTGTTTAACCCAAATGATTCAAAAGAGTTGGATTCTAGCTTCATTGCATATTCTCTTTCTTGATTTTCCTTGGGTTTAGTTTCCTTTTGTTGTGAAAAAAAATAACAACTCAATATCATTTTGTTGACATTCAACCCCTAACTGATATATTTTTGGTTAAAGAACAGTAGACCAAATTGATAGAATTTTAAAGGCATGATGATAAAATGAACCCCTAACATTTGATAAAATTACAAGAAGGTCGTTCCAAGTCACTTTGAGTACCTCAAGCTCAACGTTAATTATGAAAGGAACAATACTGTGATGGTGGAGGAGTTGTTGAGCATTCACGATAATGCACCTAAGTCTGTAAATGTTAGAGCCATTAATTCTCAGCAGGAGCAACAAACAAAACAAAAATGGTCTTGGCCTTGAACCCCCCCCTCGCTCTCCAGCTCTTCAAATTTTGATTACATATATCATTACATAAAATTATTAGAAAATAATGTGCACCGCTGATAAGGAGAGACAAAATAACATGGAAAATGAAAAAAAATATATATATTTAAAAAAATTCACATCAAACTTTTTAATTGCAAGTGATTAAAATAGTAAAAACATAAAACTATTGACAATTTTGTTAAAATATAGTTTGGTCAACAAAGTAAAAATAAAATAATAGTTTGATGGTTAATTGTTTAATTTATCAAAAATTTTATTCGGATAATTTGAACTTGTTCTTCCACTCAATGCTGACCGTTTGGGCTGAAACAATGTGAACCGGTTAGGTTAAAAAGGGTTAAATTATTTTTATTATTTAAACTTCATTTAGTTGTTTATTTTAATTTATTGAATGGTGAATTTATTTATGAAATTTATTAAAGAATATTTATATTTAAAATTTATTTTGATAGAAACCACTAATTTTGTTAAAGTGAAAATATCTAGAATTACAATAAAAGATTACAATTATAGTCATAAATTAAATATATAATAAAGATATCTTCTTATAGTTGTAAATTAAACATATAATGAGGATATTTTCTTAAAATGGTTAGTACAAAAAAACTAGAAACTTAAACACACAATAAGCCTAAAAAAGTTAAATAAACTAGCAAAAAAAAATACATATGAACATATTTGACCGCATTAGTAAACGAATCATAAAAGAATATTAAGTTATTGAAAAATCACATTCAAATTGTAAATCAAAATCGAACGATAAGAGAAAAACATTCACATATACAAATTACATATTTAAATCCAATCTGAAAATTTAAAATAGAGAAAATTAACTACATAATAATAAGTGACATCTTTATTAATCGTGATGATGTCAAATATAACCTTAAAAAATATAACGAAACAACAATCAAATTATAAAAACATACTAAAAAATAGAAAATAAAATGTGCCACAAAAAAAACAGAGAAAAATATATCATAAAATAAAATAATTAAAAATTAAAAAAGAAAAAGATAAGATATTAAAAAATACTAGTTAAAGATAAAGAAAAAAGTTAAGATGATATTTAAAATTTATTTAAATTTTGTAAATACTTTTCTTTCCATATATTCAGTATATGTATTTAAAAGATATTAACAAATTAAATACGTATAATCTGAATAAAGTATAGTATTTATACCGGTGCCATAAATGCCTTGGATTTTTTTTCCTTACAAAAGGTAGAAAGACATAAAAGAGAGAGAAAAAAGAGGGCGAAGGCAACGCCTTTTCTTTCTCTTCTTCCACAGTATTTATCTGTGAATGATCTTCATCAACTTTAATTCTCTTCTTCATCTTTTTCTTCAATCTGAATTTCATCACTTTCTAAAAGCTCCAATTGCCGGAAACCAAATTTGGCTTTTTTTTTAAAAAAGCTTCAAAATTCATATATATATATATATACAAACTTGAAATCAGCCATGAAAATCCCATCTGCGTTACAATCTTTTAACCTCTGAAAAACCCTTTACAGCATTGCAAATCAAAGCAATTCCATTGTTTTCATTGACCCTTTTTGTTGTAGAGAAAGAAAAAGATGAAACCAAATCGTCACATGATCAGTTTCTCCTTCTTGTTTTGGGCAACTTTGTTGGTGAGTGTGGTGGACCCAGACCTCGCTTCCGACAGGGAAGCCATGGTGGCTCTTCGAGAAAATGTTCGTGGACGCTTACTTTACTGGAATATTTCGAGCAATCCATGTAATTGGACTGGTGTCACTTGCTCTTCAAACCGAGTTGTCGAGTTAAGACTCCCTGGAATGGGACTTTTAGGTCAGCTTCCTGTTGGTATGGGCAATTTAACTCATCTTCAAACTCTTTCTCTTCGGTTCAACGCCATTTCTGGATCAATCCCTCCCGATTTTCCAAGCTTAATGCCCTTCGATACCTTTACTTACAAGGGAATCGATTCTCTGGTGAGATTCCTGCTGTTTTGTTCACTTTGAAGAATCTGATAAGGCTTAATCTTGCCAACAATAATTTCAGTGGTCCGATTCCCGACAGTGTTAGCAATTTGACTAGATTGGGTACTTTGTATTTGGAGAACAATCACTTATCTGGGTCAATTCCGGATATTAATTTGCCTTCACTTGTGCAGTTCAATGTTTCTTTTAATCAGTTGAATGGTTCGATTCCAAGAGGCTTATCAAGTAAGCCTCAAAGTTCTTTTCTGGGGAATCTTTATGTGGGAGTCCTTTGGTCTCTTGTAATGGTACTGAAAGTAGTGGCAATAATTTGTCTGGCGGAGCAATTGCTGGTATTGTGATTGTTGTTTGCTTGGTGTTTTATTGATTTTGATTCTATTGATATGTTATGTAGAAGAAAGAGTGGTGAAAAAGTCGATGAAACTCGGGGAAGGGATGCTGCCCCTGCACAGCAGCCTGTGGTTGAAATTCCTGGAGATAATGCAGCAGGGGAGAGTGGTAGTAGAAGTAGTGGGTTATCTGGGGTAGTAAAGAAGGAGGCTAAGAGTAGTGGGGTTAAAAATCTGGTGTTTTTCGGGAAGGTGTCAAGGGTGTTCGATCTCGAGGATTTGTTGAGGGCATCTGCTGAAGTATTGGGGAAGGGAACATTCGGGACGACATACAAGGCCACCTTGGAGATGGGGGTGGTGGTTGCAGTGAAGAGGTTAAAGGATGTGACGGTATCGGAGAAGGAATTCAAGGAGAAGATGGATGTAGTTGGTGCCATGGAACACCAGAATTTAGTTCCATTAAGGGGTTATTACTTTAGTGCAGATGAGAAACTTCTAGTCTATGATTACATGCCTATGGGAAGCTTGTCTTCACTTTTACATGGTGAGTATTTCTTTTGCATTGTGTTTCTTGCTTCTATGATGGTGCTGTCATTGCTGTTCTTCGTTGTGATTTCCGGAAATTGAATCTTAGCATGAATGTATTTAGCAATCCTGCTCATTTGTAAGTGGTACATTAGATTTCTATGGGATTCATTGATTTCCTTTTTGTCTCACTCCGTTTTCTGAATTAGGCATTGAGTTCTTTAGGATTGGATAGTTATAAGTTTGGCATATTGTTATTCAGGTAACAGAGGAGCCGGTAGGACTCCGTTGAATTGGGATACAAGGTCCGGCGTTGCCCTTGGAGCTGCCAGAGGCATTGCATACCTCCATTCCAAGGGCCCCGAAATCTCCCATGGAAATGTCAAATCGTCAAATATCCTACTTACGACATTGTACGAAGCTCGAGTATCTGATTTTGGTCTTGCTCAACTTGCTGGCCCTACATCGACTCCCAACCGTGTTGATGGCTATCGTGCGCCAGAAGTGACAGATGCTCGTAAAGTCTCCCAAAAGGCTGATGTCTACAGCTTCGGTATACTGCTTCTGGAATTGCTTACCGGAAAGGCACCAACGCATGCTTTATTGAATGAGGAAGGCATAGACCTTCCAAGATGGGTCCAGTCAATAGTTCGAGAGGACTGGACTGCCGAGGTGTTCGATCTCGAACTTCTGAGATACCAGACAGTTGAGGAGGATATGTCCAACTCTTACAGCTTGCCATTAATTGCACTGTCCAATATCCCGAAAATCGTCCTTCGATGGCCGAGGTGACAAACCAAATTGAGGAGCTCTGTCGCTCTAACTTGGAGAAAGAGACTCATTAAACCCACGATGCGTATGACTGCTCTTCCCAACAGGCTTCCTCAGCTCAGACGTGCTCCACCATATTTCAGTAAAGAACTGAAAAAAGAAGAAAAGAAAACAACAATCTTTTATTTATTTGGCACGTTTTCATTACGCATGGAAAGAGTTGTTATAGTTTGTGTATTCTTGGGTTCATTGTCTTTAAGAACAGTTGCATTTTTTCTTCAATATTTGATTATAATTTCTACATGATTGTGTGGAGTGTGAATAACTGTCTACACCTTTTGGCTTTAATGAATGATTATGGATTTTCAGCATCGATTATATGCATGGTCTGAATATCCGACCAAGGATTCGGTTTAGGTAGAGCTTATAACATGAACCGACACATAATTTTATATTAGATATGTGAATGAAAAAGTTATGTTAGAAACTTAAAAAATATGAAATTACCATAACGTTATATTTCATTAACATTCGACTCAATTATTTTATTATTTAGATGGGAGTTTGAATATTACAAATCAAGATTAAGGGAGAAAAGGCCGGCTTTAAAGATCATGCTATCCATATCCATTTATGATAATTAATAAATAAAAGTGGTATCCCCCCCCCCCCAAAATTGTAATATATTGAATGAGTATAAATACTGAGTAGATGGACATTATTTTATACAGTTGCCGAACTTGTGTAGATATTAAGTTTTTTTTAACATTCCCAAAAGTTTATTTAAAATATTTATTAAGAATTTAATGGTACAACTCTGCATATTATTTCTTTACTAAATTGCAAAAGATGCTTTCTTTTTATTTGATGTAACAATAAGAGTTGGTGGGCATTGAAGATCTTCACTTAGTGAGTGCTAATCATGTCATTTGCTACTGTTTAATATCATTTATAAGCCAACAAAAAACTAAGTCAATTGTATTTATTTATCCAATGTTATTAATGTTAT